AAAAAACTTGAGGAATCAAGTATGAGATTAAGCATATCAGTTTTATTTCCAGGCTGTGTTTAAGTCCTCCATTTGCCAATTACCAGCTCTGTGAACTTGGATAAGTTACTCAATTTCTCTGTGCCTCAGCTTCCCCACCTATTAAATAGGTTAATGGTATCCAAAAATTAAGACATGTATAGCATAGAGAACAATGCCTGGCACATTGAAAGTGCTCAATAAATGCTAGTTATTATCTTTGCAAAAACAAACCTGATTCTAATAGGCATGTGAATAAAACCATCAAAGATCACTTGTCAAATTCCAAACTCATGATGAGCAAGGTACTCCACAACCTGGCCTCTACTGACCATTTCAACCTGAAATCTTACCAGGCCCTGACTCTTTGAAATTCATGTTCCAGCAACCAAACTATCAGTGGGCATTCCCATGGCCATGCAGTTTGACATCGTTGGGCCTCTGCTCATAATGCTCCTTTATTGCTATGGAGTTTTTCCTGCCTTCTTTACCTGGCCAACTTCCCATGGTCCTTTAAGACTCAGCCCAGATGTCTTCTCAACCTTGAACCGCATAGGTCTCTAGGCTGTGGGGACTGATGGGATCACTTCTCAGTAGACTTACCCTAACACATCAACACTGAGTGTAGACTGTAGACATTGTCTATTCACTGACACAAGCTAGGTATGGGGTCTATCTCCTCTCCAGTGAAAATTCTTCAGGGTGAGAACTTTCTATATCTTATTGAGGACCCCTTATTTCAGCTTATCTCATTTAGCCTCAGAACAGCGTCTTTTACTCCCCTTTCCACTGGTGCTATTGGAGAGGCACCCTGCACTAGCCTATCTGTTGCTCTTCCCCAAGAGAAGAAGAGTAGCTGGTGTGATTGCTGAAGCCCAGTGTTTACTTTTCTGCAGTGGCAGTGGCTCCAGGGACAAATACCATTGCCCATGCATGGCACAGAGCGTCTGCCTCCTGAGCTGCTTGTGGCAGGTGTCCCAGGTGGTCATGTGCTCTGTTCTCCCTCCTTTTGGAGGTGCAGGCAGGGCATGCTTACATGGGCCTACCATTCCCCCTACCTGTTCTGGTCTGTCTTCCTCTGAGGGATGAATAACCAATGATGGACCTAGGGAGTAGAAAGCCCCCCATAATTTGTAATCTACCTGCTATTCATTTGTGGGTGTTGGACATGCTTTGTATTGTATTCTTCTCGAGCATATCTATCAGCTGGAGAGTAGCAGAGGTGAGCCTTAGTCTCCTAGCTGCCAACATGACTCATCTCTTTGTGTCCAGTGCCCAGGGCTTGTATGTGCATGATGCTCAATATGGTTGTTACCGAAGCAGACAGTCGGAAGTCGGATGGGCCAAGTGGCTGCATCACCCAACTGGGAATGTAGAGCCTGTTCTCAGGTCCACACAGCAGGCCCTTAACTGACCCCACTGGCCAGCTGAGAGTGCCTGAGCCTGTGGCGGGTATATTAGTCACCATCTTCAGGAAGACTGATTCCACGGAAAGGCAAACAGACAGGTGGCCCTTCCACATGAATGATCCCACAACCAGCCACCGGAGGGGAATGGAGCAGTCAGTCAGTCAACACTAACAATTAAAGTAACAATGTCTTCTAGACCTGTCCAAATGCTGGATATACTGACTATTCCCACCTTATTGATCAGATAAAAGGGAATGTGGCTTTGAGAATGTTATTAAACTCTGATTCCAGTTTGCTCCTTGAGACACACGGAAGGTGATTCTTCATAAAGTTGTTAAGATTCAGTGATAAAATACATGAAATTCACTTAGTACATTGCCTACAAAACAATAGGTGCTTGCCAGTTGTGATCAGTTTTAATACTGCATTTCACACTGGGATGAAAATATTCCCCCATATACCGATCTCATAACCCAAGATATACTTCACTTAAAGCATAATTTTCAAATAAGACTGCCAAGTCAATTAAAACTCCACAACCTTTAAGCTTATCTTTTCTACTGGATAGGAATCAAGGAATTACATATAATTTCCTAGTGTTTGGGCTCTAATTGTATAATGAGTAGAAAATTCAACCCCCTGGATAATCTTTGGGTAGCCCATTGAATAATGCCTCCGCATGATATTGAAAGGTCTTGTTCTGCTTTCTTTGCCTGATTTCCAAGTTTTGGATAATTTTTCTTAGCATCCTTCCTTAGTATATTTGTTTCACACATATATGAATGTTTACCATATGGCAGAGCCAGGAGGAGATACAAACAGTAATAACAAGAATGATAAGAGTAATCACTAACATTGACTGAGCACTTATCATGTGCCAGGTGCTAATCTAAGCACTTCGTATGCATGCTGTCATTTACTCCTCAAGCCACCCTGTGAGGTAGGCATATTATCATCCCTTCTGTACAGATGAGGAAATGGAGACAAAGAGAGTTTGAGTGAGCTGTCCAAAATCACACATCTAGAAAGTCATATCACCAGGATTCCAGCCTATAATTGTGGTTGGAGTCCAGCACTTAAACTTAGGGTCCAGTAGGGGAAATCAAATAGCAAAATAATTCAGTGCAATCAAAAGTTATAGGCGGATGTAAAGAGTCCAGGTGAACCCAGGTGCTTGAACTTGAGCCTGACTGATGGGTAGGTAGGTGATAGTGGGAAAGGGTATTCCTGGTAGAGGAAGAACATAAGCAAAAGCTCTAGGGTTAGCTGTCCTGTGTGGCTGGAATGTAGCGTGGGTATCTGATGGGGTCACAATGGGTGGTTTAGTTGGAGAGGTAGGTAGTGCCTTTCCTATAGAATAACAAAAATTCATCACAGATGTATGTGAGAGGGAGAGTACCTCGCACAAAGAGAAACTTTGTCACATGTTTCTCAACCAGGACCCTCTTGAAATTTGGTGTGGGATCACTCTTGATTGTACACCAGGAGCTTAGCATCCCTGGCCCCATCTTCAGTCATTGTAACATGCCCCCTGGAGGGTGGAGACCAGCCCTGACTGGTTGAGATCTAAGGCTCTATGGTTCTCAAAATGTAGCATGCATCTGAATCACCTGGAGGCATGTTAAAACACAGGTGGCTGGGCTCTCATACCAGAGGTTTTGATTGAATAGGTCTGGGGTGGAGCTCCAGAATTTAGCATTTTTAATAAGGTCCCATGTGATGTTGCAGCTGCCGGTCTGGGGACCACCTTTGAAAACCTACATAGTTCATTATTATTTGCGCCCCCTAAAGTATAGAGGAACTTCCCTGCCTTGGATAGGAATATGGCCCCTCCCTGGGAAAAGCTTCCCAAATGCTCCAAGAATATTTGGCATCACCCAGTGTCTCAGACTCTGTCCAGGTCACAAGATACGTTGGCAGTGAGGCTCCTATCATGTCAAGTTCTGCTGAATTTTCTGTTTTCGAACTCTTTCTTTTGAACACCCAGATAAAGAGCAATTACTGCCTCACTCGGCACTTCTCTGTGTTCATTTAATCTCCCTGCTTTGTTTCTGACATCTGCAGTAATCGGCCTCTGCCCTCCCCTACGCATACAGCAGTCAGCCCAGGGAGCAGCTCCTGACGGGTGCAGGTTTAGTTGCCACGTGCTTAAGGTTCAGGATCTTTCCTGAGCTCTGCTGTGGAATGGCACTAGAAAGAGGAGATGCTGATAATGGCTGCTATCTGCATTCCTTTCTTTGTTCCTCACCATCTGAGTGTCTGTAGGGAATTAAAAAATGACTAGCTGGAGGCAGCTCGATGTTTATATGGCAGAAAGACAAACTCAGAGCCAGAGAGAGAGAATTGTTTAAAACAGGCTCAGCTCAAACCATAACCAAACAGAACTATTGTGGGCACCTAGCCTTGAGTGAGCCTGAGCTAGCTCTGATGCCCTTACTTTTAAAGGCCCACGTGTATTCGTCACATTTACAATAGTAATGGCCCTGTTTACTGAGTGAAGACTTTGTGCAAGGCAGGTTCTAAGGACTCCATGGGCATTATTAACATCGATCCTCATGGGAGTGCAATGAGGTTGGTGACATTATTGTGCCCATTTCAGGTGATAAAACTGAGACTAAGAGATGTCATATCTCCATGAAATGAGCCATCTGGGATTCAGGTTTGCTTTAAGTGATTCCAAAGTTCATGTTCTTAAAACAAAATTAGCAGACAGTGTGGATGCTGGTTAACTCATTTTCTTATTGAAAATGGCCATTATGTCCTTCCAGTTAATAAATAGAGGCACAATTTACTCATGCATTATGTGTGTGTCTGAGAGAGATGGAGAGAGAGAGAGAGAGAGAGAGAGAGAGAGAGAGAGAGAGAGAGAGAGGTGGGTGATGGAGGTAGAGGGAGGAGTTGATATTAATTTACTAAGCTTATTTCAACCATATACAATGATGTGTGGGAAAATGATGGCACATTAGACTTTGGCATTCTTAAATATATCTAGATTAGGATAAATGTAATTACAATGTTAATGATTGCTTTTGAAAAGTCCATGAAGTTCCAAAGTGAATCCAATAAAGGGCAGAGGGTGTAATGGACAGATAGAGGTAAATGGGACTATTTGAAGTGGGTTGGTGGGTGCAACAGCTACATATGGAATTGTCTGCTCAGCAGCCCGTTCCTCCAGGACGCCTTCCCCACCCCCTCCATGAGCTATCCCAGAGAGCTGCTGTATTCAGTTCCTAATGCTGTGTAGCAGATCTCCACAAACTTAACGGCTTAAAACACCCCTTTATTAGCTCACAACATTGTAGGTTAGAAGTCTGGGTGGGGTCGTTTCTTAGGATCCCACTGGCTGAAATGAAGATGCTGGCCCAGCTGGGCTTTTACCGGGAGGGCTAAAGAAGAATCTGCTTCCAGGCTCCTTCAGGCTGTTGCAGAATTCAGTGGGTCATTCTTGACTCTCTCCGACTCCCCTTTCTGCTAAAACCCGGAAAAGGCTCCCTCTTTAAAGGGTTCACCTGATTGAGTCAGGCCTACGCAGATAATTTCCATTTTAAGGGGACTTTAATTGCATTGGAAAAATCCTGCCACGGAAGTCCTAGATTAATGTTTGATTTAATAATCAAGGGACAGGATGCTGATCACAAATCTTTAGTAAAAGGTGAAAGATTTATGCGATCTGAAGAGAAACCAGAGTATTGGGGAATCTTTAGAATTGCGCCAACTGCAGCTGCTTTCTCTATAAATGATCGTGTCCTCTCACAGGTGGTTAGACCAGCAATTGTCTTCTGATCCAAAGCAGGCCAGTTAGTTTATTTCCTGAGATATTTGAAAGTACCCCAGTCTGCCTTGAGAAATTGGGGGGTCCTTTTATAAACAATGCGGAGCTTTGGCAAAGCTTTTAGGCAGGAACTAAGATCATGGAAGGAGATGTGTTTGGGGAGAAGATGATTCTCTGTAGGAAGTGTCCAGTGGACAAGTGCAAACATGAGCCTGAAACTTGGTGGAAAGGAGGGATCTGGGGGTGTGGTTTGGGGTCCTTGTGAACTGGAGGAGGGCTGAAATCTTGGTGATGAGTGACCTTGGAGGAGGGTTCAGAGCAGAGGTGTTCTAAGCTCTGGGGACACCAGGATGATCTCTGCAGGATCTCTGAAGTGAGCAGGGTAGACAGAGGAAAGGGATGGAGAAAGCAGAAAGCAAGAAGGAGAGAGGACACATCACCCTTAGGCTTTAAAGCAGTGACTTAATGTACTTTGCATTGGCTAGCCTCTGGTACCTCTTCTCTCCTACAGAACCATAGATGCTTCTTTTTGGGTTGTTGTTGTTGGTTTCTAATTGTGGTAAAATATACATAAGATAAAATGTACCATCTTAGCCATTTTTAAGTACATTCATGTTGTTGTGCAACCATCATCATCATCCATCTCCAGATTTTTTTCATCTCACAAAACTGAAACACTCTACCCATGAAACACTAACTCCTCATTCCCCCTCTCCCAGGCCCTGGCAACCACTATTCTACTTTCTGTCTCTATGAATCTGACGATACTAGGTGTCTCATATAAATGGAATCACACAGCCTCTGTCTTTTTGTGACTGACTTATTTCACTTAGCTTCATGTCCTCAAGGTTCATCCAAGTTGTAGCATGTGTCGGAATGCCCTTCCTTTCTAAGGCTGAATAATATCCCATTGTATGTACACATTTGGCTCAGCCATTTATCCATCAATGGATATTTGGGTTGCTTCCACCTTTAGGCTATTGTGAATAGTGCTGTTACGAACATGGGTGCACATATATCTCTGTAGGGTCTTGAAGTGGGATTGCTGGATCATATGATAATTCACTTTTAATTTTTGGAGGCGCCTCCATCCTGTTTTCCATGATGGCTACATCATTTTGCATTCCCACCAAGAGTGCATACGGGCTTCAATTTCTCCAAACCCTTGCCAACACTTATCTGCTGTGTTGTTTTGTTTGTTTAATAGTAGCCATTTTAATGGGTGTGAGGTGGCTCATAGGTTTGTTTGTTTGTTTGTTTTTTGACTGAGTATTAGTTTGTGTTGTCATTTTGCGTGATCAAGCATGGTGCGTCCTCATTCAGGCATCTTCACCAAGACCAGGCACATCTCAGAGAGCCCAGACCCAAGAGAGCCAATGAATGTATTGATCAAAGTGAAGGGAAAGTGAGGCATTCATGAATGTTCATAGAATTTCTTGAATCTGAGACTTAGGTCAGCCTCTGCTTGATTATCCTGTGTGTGAATTTACCCTAGAAACTTTTCTTCCTTCAGAAGGTTAAGAGGCAGGGTGGAAAGGGCATAAACCCATAATGGACAATTCAGAATGAATACAGACACTGACCTGATAGACACAGGGCACATCATTTCCCTTGCTGAACTCATTCCCACCAGGATAATTGCCATACCTGGAAAAATCCTACTTCTCATGGGGCTCCAAAGTGAATGCAGATGGCTGGGTAAAAGTTTTTATCAATTAACAAGGCATTTGGTAATTCAGGTTCCCTGTGTTATCTATCTGCTTAACTTTTATTCTGCACTAACTGCATTTCCAAAAATACATTTCCCGAATTATCCGCCTTCACTTTCAGTAAACGACTGTAAGGTCATTTAAAATTTCAGGCTCTAGAGTCTCTCATGTTGTCCCAGATGCCATTTCTGATGGAGGATGATTGCTCACCACTTTGAGTCAAATGGAGACGGAGGGATGGTTCAATAACACTCTCTGCCTCTTTAAGAAGTACTTCAAAAGGAAGGACAGAGATGGGAAATGGGCAAAAATCCCCTCATCCTGGTGTTTAACTATAGAAGCCAGGGTGGCCCTGATCCAGAAATGCAATTAATGGTTAAGTTCACCCGTTCATTCATTCCCTCCCTCATTCATTCCAAATGCCAGTATAACCAGCAATGCCATTCTGATTTATCTCCTGACAAAGGGTGGGCTTGTTGAAAATCATTGATGTCCTGGAGAGATGGTCTAAGAAGCACTGAGCTGACTGCTAATTTACGGATGCTCCACTCCAGTATCAAGTGGGACCCAGCAATCTGCACACTTGGCCTCCATTCCTCTGGATGCGCGCAGAGATGCCAGCAACTTCACATTATGTTTTTGGCTTTCACTGGGGGAACAAAATACTGGCCAGAAGAACATTGCTGCACTTTTACGGTAAAACAAAGAACATTGCTGCACCTTTTTTGGTAAAGCAATGTTCTTCTCAGCTCAGGACACCATTATTTTTGGATGATATCATTTCAACTGGCTCATAATTGGCCACCATGCCTCCATTCTTGCCCCTTCCTCCACCATCATTTTCCACACCAAGTAATCATTCTAATCATTCTCAAATGCATATTTCATCACATCGCTCCTCATGATTACAATGCGTCAGCGGCTCTCCCTTGGTTACAGGTTGAATTCCTGGCTCTGCTGCACATCCCACCAGGCCCTCCGTGGCCTGTTCCCAGCCTGCTGTGTCCCTCACACTCTAAACTCCAGTAAGACCAGCAGTGTGACCTGCGCTTCCCCATACACACTCGCTCTCCCTCCCCACTTCCTCCAGCCTGCTATTCCCTCTGATCCCCTCCTGCTTTGCCTAACACCTATTCTGCTTCACAGGTGGACTCTCTGTGGAAATGATCCCCCTCCTGCCTTGTCCCCAGTTACCAGTCTGGGTCACATGCTGCTCTGTGCGCTCTGTAAACCCTCGCCCATCTCTTGCCCTTGGCGTTTATCACACACTTGTCTGCCTCCTTGTGCTTTCCCTCCATGCTGTGAGCATCAGGCAGGCCAGTTTTCTCTGCTTCTTTGTGTCCCTTGTGTCTGGAATAGGCAGGCATTGAGTAGCCTTGCAATAAATGTTCAACATAGAAGCCCCAACTGTCTTCTGTGCCACAAATATGTGCCTCTTTATCTCATTGCCAGAGTCACCCTATGATGAAAGTGTTTGTCCCTGTTGGCAGTCAAAGAGACACTCACAATAGAACCTCACTGATTATGGCTCCTGCTGCAGTCCCAGAAGCCCGTGCTGCTCAGCGGGAGGGTGAGGAATGGAAAGTTTCCCGATGGGCTTTTATCAGCAACAGCCTCCTTTCTTTTTGGGGATATTACCTTTCACCTCCTGAAGGTGTGGTCAATCCAGGGGGTCTCTTGGGTCATTCCTTCAGATTCAATACCCCTCATCCCTGGTAAAGACAAGATAGGCACATGATCTGAGTGCAGCTAATTGGAAAATCTATCCTGGGATTTTCAATCATTGAAATAAAGGAATGGGGAGAAGAAACAGTCCAGCTGGCCCTTGAGCTGATGGGGAAGAGTGGAGAAATCAGGTGCACAAGTTAGAGTTTGGCTGTTTATGACAAAAACAAAGCAAAACAAAACACCCCCCCCCAAAAAAAAACAACACACACACCACAAACAAAAACAAATATCTTAATGAGATGAAAGTATATTTATCTCTCATGTAAATGAAGTCCAGAAATAAGCAGCCCATGAGTAATAAAGCCAATACGGAGACCCAGACTCCTTTCACTCTTTGTTCCCAGGCTGTGAGCCTGTCCTTATAAGCCAACACTGCTGCTACAGTGCCAGCATTCACATTTGGGTCCCAGGCAATGAGATGGGGGAAGTAGAAGGAAAGAGGGAATGTCTCCTTTTTAAAAAAGAGATTTCCTGGAAGTGTCACACCGCCTTTATTTATATCTTACTAGAGGCCCGGTGCACAAAAATTTGTGCACTGGGGGAGGGGGGCTTCCTCAGCCCGGCCTATGCCCTCTTGCAGTCTGGGATCCCTCGGAGGATGTCCACCTGCTAGCTTAGGCCCGCTCCCTGGGGGATTGGGCCTAAGCTGGCAGTCAGACATCCCTCTGGCAGCCCGGCAGCCCTCAGGGGAAGTCCACTTACCAGCAGGGAGCAGACCTAAGCTGTAGTCGGACATCCTTAGCGCTGCTGAGGAGGCAGGAGAGGCTCCCGCCACCATCACTGTACTGGCAGCCATCAGCCTGGCTTGTGGCTGAGCAGAGCTCCCCCTGTGGGAGCGCACTGACCACCAGGGGACAGCTCCTGTATTGAGCATCTGCCCCCTGGTGGTCAGTGTGTGTCATAGTGACCAGTCATTCCCAGTCCTTCTGCTGTTAGGGTCAGTTTGCATATTACCCTTTTATTATATAGGATAGAGGCCTGGTGCACGGATGGGGCTGGCTGGTTTGCCCTGAAGGGTGTCCTGGATCAGGGTGGGGGTCCCTCTGGGGTGTCTGGCCAGCCTGGGTGAGGGGCTGATGGCTGTTTGCCGGCTGGTCAAGCCCCCCAGTGGGGACCCTCACCCCATGGGGGTTTGGTCAGCCTGGGCAAGGGGCTGATGGCTGTTTTCAGGCTGGCCACAGCCCCTTCAGGGTAGGGGTCCCCGCTGGGGTTCCTGGCCAGCCTGGGTGAGGGGCTGAGGGCTGTTTTCAGGCTGTCCACACCCCCTTCGGGGTGGGGGTCCCCACTGGGGTGCCTGGCCATCCTGGGTGAGGGGCTGATGGCTGTTTTCAGACTGACCAAGCCCCCTGGCAACCGAAGCTCCCAGCCTTTCCTTTCTTTGTTTTTTGTTTTTTTTATTCACTCCAGCTCTGTGGCCATGGCGACTGGAAGCAGGTATCTGGGGTTTATTTACCTTCTATAACTGAAACTTTGTTGCCTTG